AGGAATGCCAATCGCGAGACATGCGAGAGTATTTTTCGCTCTGATTAAATGTGCGCCTGTTTGCATAATAGCCATAGATCAGTGAAACGTGCGACCACAAATCAAAAAGATTGTCATTAGATTGTTGATTACAAAATGTTGCATTTCCAAAATTTAATTTCAAACGTTTTACTTTACAAGAGCGCTCTCTTTGATAATCATAAAAGTTAAAGAAAATAATACGTTGTGATTTTTTACAAAAGAGAAATATAGATAGATGTACAAAATTCAAATTTCAATATATTTTGACATAAAAATTAAAATATTTCGTAAAGTATTTGCTTTTGGATGATTTTATTTTAATATTTCTCTACAAAAGTTCGTAAAACTGCTATGCTTTTTAATAGAAGATAAAGTTTACGATTTTTCAAGTTACAATGTGCTGCATTTGAGAAATGAGCGATTATTTAAAAGTTAAGGAATGTTAATTACAATGATTAGCAATTTATATTATAGGATCTACATTTTAAACATTTTATATATTATCGTTGATAATAATCACTTCATCACGATACCGAGGCGCCTGCGGCTGTCCTCGCACAACGATTAAAGCTCCTATAATTGGAATCAATTAATTGTGATTCATAAAGTTGTATCGCGGTAAACAAGTCATCATCACGATAGAAATAAATGTAGAGCGAGCCGAATCGAAAGAATACGATTTTCAAAATCGGAGATAGCAAAGTTTCTTAAATTCCAACTTTCATATATACACACATATACATGCTGCGTGTATTAGATATGATAACAATAAGATAAATTTAAAAAAATTTGTCTCTATGCAAAATTTTTAAAGATAGAAATACACTTTCTTATCATTTTTTGTACAAAAATATTAAAATAAGATCATTCAAAAGCAAATAATTCACGAAATATTTCAATTTTTATGTCAAAATATATTGAAATTTTAATTTTGTACATCTATCTATTTTTCTTTTTTTATTATTAAAGGTAAGTCTTCTTCCAAGTTATTCAAAGATGTACTTATCCGAGCCTTCTCCTCGCATTAAATTTTTCGTTGATTGTACCTTGCTGCATCAAGAAAGAGAGAGAAAGAGAGAGAGAGAGAGAGAGAGAGAGAGAGAGAGAGAGAGAGAGAGAGAGATGAATAGATAGATAAAAAAAGAGATATGCAAAAATCATTGAATATTAACAAATTATTCTATGGATTAGATTCTTGTATCGCTTTTTATAATTATTCATAATTAACTAGAATACTCGAAGATTTCTCATGTGGCTCCTGTATATATACTTGTATTTTGACATCTTTCTTGCAACTCCCTATACTTTAACTTCATCACTCCGAATTCGTTGTCGGGATAATGACGCGGCGCGACGATCATGGTCGTAGTGGGGACCATAGATGATGATGACGGCAGGGGTAAAGAGAAAAGGGAACGGAAATGCTGACGACCAGCTGGCGGCGAGTCAGTCGGTATAAACCATCGCTCACGCTTGGATTGGAGTATCGGAGCAACCAGTCCGCGAGCATATACATATACGTATTAGGAATGTAATCTGTGCTCGATGACCCATCCGTTACCTGTGTACGACGCGCTGCAATTTACATACTGCCAAATTTCATCCAGGGTGAGTGAGCGACTGAATCATGCGAGAGCCACGTGCACGCGATCATCCGTAGAGATCCAGCTAGATCGGCGTAGGGGTCCGATTCCCGAACCAAAGACGCGCGAAGATAATTCTTACGGCGATCGAAACAAGATATATTCTTAATCTGATTTTATACGGGAGAAATTAAATTTTCAAACCGGTTATGATGGATGAACGAAATTTCTCTACTCTTGCCCCCCGTTTCCAACAGTCGAAAAGTTTCTCATGAAAAACGTACGTGTGTCTATCGCGCTTCGTTTCGAAAATTTGTACAATCGATTCTGCAACAATACGGACAAAAATTTTACTTAAATTTAAAATTGATGAAATATCCTTTCGATCCTCAACATGTATATTTTTTAATGCAATCTTGCAAGTTTTGCTTGCGCTGTTTTTTCCGGGACATTCCGTATATTTCTGTCGAAGACATTTGAATGCATAATGCACATCATCGCATTGATGCATGATAAATCAGTATTCTTCACGTAATCTTTTTTTTTTATGCACGTAGTGCGTGCAAATTTGCTTACCTGTTGAAATAAAGACTTTGATGATTCATGGTCATAACCACGATCTTTCCGTTATTGATAACAAAACTGGAAGAGTTCTAATAATTCAGAGATATAAAAAATATAAAATATCATCGGCTGTAGAATTTTAAAACTTTCTGCGGAAATTGAAATTATATGTTGAAAAAAGCAATAAAATCAAGGAAATGAGGATACTGTCTTTTTTAAATGTAATGAGAAGAGTCCAAAGTAACCAGAAAAAAATATTTTACAAGTGTTAACTTTTTGAATAGGACAAATGTACCTTTGGCCTTGTATCTATGTTTAACTATTTATTTCAAGCTAATATGCCAGTAATAAAAATGTCGTGGTATTATTAATTTTCGAGTAATTAACAGCTGAAATAATCAATAATTTTTGAGTAATGTATAATATAAAATATATATCCCATATAAACATATCAATATTTAAACATTTATACATATAGATAAAATTATTTTCTCGGCTATAGCGGAAGAATTAAACTACTGAATAAACTATAGAGCGTAAGCGTATAAGCGAATTTTTTTCTGACGATATCAAAAATAACTCGCGAGACTTCTTGAACTTAAGTGTTAATCTTGCATTCCGCAAAACATAAATCGCTTATCTCTGTTAAAATTTTCAAAATATAACATTGCGGAAAATTTTCCTCGTGGTAGCGAATCAAATCGCAGAGCCAATGATTAAATATTGACTCTCTTGTTTATACCTCGTGATAAGTTAATTGACATAACATTATATGTCGTCGCCAATTGTAATATGACTATTCAGTTGCTTAAAAATGTTACTTGCAGAGATAAAACCGACGATTTCTACGTAGCATTTTGCAAATGTCTGTCGATTTTTATGTCAAAGCTATTAAAATCTGTCGTAAGAAAACAATAAGTGTCACAAATGGCGTGCGAACTATTATTTGCCAAGTGTTTTGCAAGTCACGAATCACGACACTTCGAGGGAAGAGATGTTAACTCGCGACAAAATATGAACGAGTAATTACTATTTTTACATCGCACCAATATTTTCACCAATATTCTCACTTTTTCGAATATTTGTCCAAAATTTTTTTGCATCTTATACATTTTTTTTAATATCCATATCGCATGCATATATATCACATATCACTAAGAATCTCTAAAGTATAACCTTGAATGGAGATAAGCAATTACGTAATATGTGAATTTGTTGATAAAATTAGTAAATGCACGATGATATTTTCCAGAAAAGTCTAATCACAAGTGATAACGAGCAAGCAAAAACTTTAGCCTTCATCTTCAATTTGCAAATGACTAATCTGATAACACTTCCCTGTCATCTCAATAAACGATCTGTACTTAATTTATCAAACTTTTATATTTATACACTTGCGAAACATAAAAATCAAAATATTAAACCATATTAAATGTCATTTATATAAATAATTTTTATATAGTTTCAAGTATTCCATTTTTAAAAACTTATTTCACGGATAAGAAATGACATATGGTTGACATGTGTTGCAAAACTATGTGATGGAAGTAATTTCAAATCAATAAAATTTTCATAAATTTTTAATATATATCGTTGCAGAGTGGAAAAGAGGCTACAGGCGATCCTTGAGGAAGCGCCATTGAAGAACCTGCGGCAGAACAGGCGTCGGTAATCGATGGGTTGATAACGCTCTTTGTGCCATTCTCTTTTCGTTGTCAGGGTGTGTAGCTTACCTATGAGCCATGCTGAAGGTGGTTGGAGCCTCGTGGTGGCAGACGCGCATCTCCACCTACATCCTCGTAGCCGTTGCTCTCATCGGCATCGGCGCGATCATCCTCAGCGAATGCGATCTTTTACAGTAAGTAAACACTGATTTAATTGTCAACAAACCTGAATAGAAAAATAATGTTGAATATAAAAGAAATAAACAAAACTTTCTGTCAAAGTTTTTCTATATAAAGTATTAATTTTTTTTGCATTAGCGTTGAAAAAGATGGAATCTACTCGGCTACCGTATCGTGGAATCACAAGGGAGGATATCACATCGAGTTTTGGGGCCAAGGCAATGACCTCGCCAATGTGCAATTGAATGTCGCCCGTGCCTATTATAAGACCAGCATCTTGGAATCCGGGTAGATCAATGTTATTAAATAAAGAAAATCTACAGTCGTGTCTCTTTTGAGATATTCCCGGCGTCGTTAAAGTACGGAACTCTGAAAGAGGCTATGTTTAAACGCATCTTTATAAAATCGCGAATGTTATTTTGTTTCTATAAAAATTAGGTAAAATGATTAGAGGTAAAGTTTAAATAGTCTTATATTTTCGGTTTTTAAATATAAATTTTGATTGCATTGAAAAAATACATCGAAGTAAATTTGTCGGCGCAAAGTCGATCTCTTTATATTTAATAAATTATCCTCTGTCTCGTTCTAAATTTATTTGAAGAAAATCAATAATATTTGTATTTATTTTATTAATTTATACTTGTAAAATATATATGTCACACGCGGTTTTAATAAGTTTTAATTTTACGCGATTAAAATTATTGAAGAGATTGCAATAATTAAGATGCAATAGTTTTACTTCCGCTACAATAGTTTTATGAAGCTTTTTATTCTAAACTAATTCTGTAAAAAAAAAATATTTTTTGACGTGCAAATATCTCGGAATCCATGAAGCCGATACGTCCGCTTCACATACGTCAAATCAGGATATTCTGCAGATATCACGCACAATGTGGGGTAATTAAAATAAGCATGTTGAATCGCGACTCATTCCAGATGGTCCATCATCGAAATAGAAACTTCATCCAAATATCCGGACATCGTGCAAGCTTACGCGGCCGGTTTGTTGGAAGGTAGCCTAACATGGCAATTGATCTATCATCATTGGCACAATACCTTCGATGCCGTTTGCGAAAAACGGGCTATCGAGTGTTGGAAATTGATGAAATTCTTTCGCGAAAATGCGGCCGAGATTCGCGAACGTGCCGAACGCTTTGCACCCACGGATTCATTTTGGCATATGGTAAATTAAAAAAAATAGTAGTTGAAATTTTTGTATGCTACAAATATATACATAAATTATTTTCTAAAATATCATCAAACATTTGTTTAATAGATTCACTTTTCTTTATGCTAAAAAAGAAAAAAAAGCTTGAGTAATTATGTATTTATTTTTATTGTTTTTTAATAAAAAAAATCGACTAATAATTAATTAAACAAATATTCTCGATTGCATAGATCAAAATGAGATGTTTGAAATTTATTTTACAAATTCGAGGGACTTCTACATCTTCCTATTACAGGTGCGACTGTTCTATATTCAATTGGACGGCTTGGAAGCTGGCTGGAGATACGCGGTTCGTCGTAGTCGACAGACAGTGGAAATGGATACGGAACATTTCCTCTGGCTGGCAATGGCTGCAGATCTACCGGATCTCGAGCGAATGCTAAACGATTCCGATTCTCGAAGCAATTGCACCAAAGGCATGATTTTCCTTAAAAGTCTACCTCGCGAAGGGCTGGAACCGTTGATAGCTATCGGACATACCACTATTGCTCCGTAAGTAATCTCTACTCAGTATATGCAAAGAAATATAGTAATGACTTTTTAGAAATATTAGGCTATAAAATAAATTATTTTCAAAGATACATGAAAGAAACATTTTAGAAATGTTACGTAAGTAATTAACGTCCGCATTCAGACGTAGAACATGACGTAAATGTCTCTTGCCATTGTCCTTTTGCCGTGTCATAAACGTTTTTAAGAATAATACTTAAACATTACTATGTTTCTATTATTATTTCTATTATGATTCCAATAGCGATATTGAGAGCATGGCATTAGAAATTTATTTAATGGTTAATTCTTTACATTTGCTCTAATTATTATAAATATAAGCAATATAATTATCATCTTTATTATAACGTCATAATAATTATAATAGAAATAATAATTATTTTTGGACAATTTAAGATTTTTAATTGAGTTTTGAGTTTAATAAAAATCTAGTCTTGTATTATCTAAAAACAAAGTCTTTTAAAAAATTATAAAAATAATAATATATTGAACCTTGTAAATAAATTATTATCTGTTTTGTTAAATTATAGTAATTTTGCAAGAAGAAAAATAAAGTAATATTTGAAAGAAAAACTTAATTTTATTATATCTATTAAGCTTGTACAATATAAATTAATTATTTTCAATTGCTTCATAAATCACCACCGAGAAAAATAAAAGCATAAAAGAAAATTAATTACTATTAAAATTTTTTTAAAGTTAGGATACAAATTAGGTTTTGTTTATTGCGTTAGCCGTAATTCATTTTAATTACATACGTATATAAAATTTATTTAAAATAGAGAGACGCTTTTATATATATATTGTATGTGCATGTCATAGAGATTAAATTTGCGCAAAAATCTAAAAATAATTTTTAATTTACACCTTTTGTATTTATTTGCTGCGAGGATACTCGAGTGTGAGTATATATACTATCGTATTAATGTAAATAAAAATAGTTGCTCGATCATTGGATATATATCGCGAGCCGTTTCACATTTCTCTTACAGATACGTTAAGATGCTGAGACTGCTAAAGAAGTACACTTTTGGTTATCACGTATTGCCGAAGACATCCGCACCTGTGCCAGGCAGATCCATCATAATGTCATCTTATCCTGGTGCTCTGTCGTCCCACGACGAGTTTTATTTAATCCGAGGTCAAAATCACGAACTAATTGTTGCCGGAACGCCGTGGACAATCGCTAAGCGCAGTCTGTGGAATTTTACAAATACAAAAAATCAGGTAAGCAAAACTTCGCTTTGATCTCTACAATTTTGCACTTTATTGAAAATATTTATTCAAGACGATAACCTTTTTTTTACGATGAAATTATATACAATTTTGTATCTGCTTTTTTTATTGACTTCTTTAAACGAGATATGTCGAAAGTTAGGAGATTTCATTGATTTTCTTATTCAACAGGTGATGTCATCCGTGAAGGTAATGACGGCAAACCGTCTGAAAACTGACGGGCAACACTGGTTTGATAGCATATCGCAAAATAATGCCGATATAGGGCGGCAATGGATCACTTTAGAACCGCGTTTTGGTACTATCTGGCTTATCAAGCAGCTGCCGGGGATCACCCATCAGACGCGTATCAACAAACAGTTTGCCGTCACTGGCGCTCTTTGGAGCACCGGAGAAATCCATCCGCGTGAAAACAACGAGACTGACGAAGATTCTTACGATACGGTAAAGAGCGAGCTGGTCGCGAGATTGCAGACAAACGTCACTACAATGGAGCAGTTTAGGAGGCTCATGCGAGGATACAATCACGAGGCACCTACCACCAAGAAAGAGGAACAGGCGCGAATCCGGACTTACAGAGGAGATCTAGGGAAAGTAGCTCTACCATTTGGCGTAATTGATGCGAAGATCGTGCTGGCTGACATCAATGGTATAGAGACTTTCGAAGCCATTTCTGGACCGAGCACGCTAGGCTCTAAGCAACCCTTCCAATGGTCGAAAACTTTTCCCAACGTCTCGCACGTCGGCCAGCCCGATGTCTTTAATTTCGATAGCGTTACTCCTTTGTGGGTTTGGCTCTGAATCATCTATCTTCAAAAGCGACATTCGATCAAATACTTCGAAACTATAATTTATCCAATGAAATCTCTGATTTGAACGAGTTTCGAAACAAGTCCAATATAAAATTCTTGATTTGGATAACTTTTAAAACGAAAGTTTGATGTAACTAATATAATTATTGTAAAATAATGTTTATTGGATCGTAAACAAATAAATATATCTAAAGCGCGTATTTGATACGTACGCACGTTATAAGTGCGTACTTTGCTTTTGTAAATATAATAAAATTTAAGAAGAAAACAAGAAAAGATCTTCAGCTTTTCAACAAAATTATTATTGAGACGACTTGTTTGCTTCTTTAAATCATTGATTCACAATTTTAGTTGAAAAATAGTAATGTTAGTAATGACGAAAAAAGAGATGTATAACTTTTTGAACTCTATAAAAACAGAAAATTGACCAATAAAATGCAAGCAAAGCAAAATAATCAATAATTAATTAAAAAATTTAACATTTAAGTAAAAATTGCAGAATTTGAAAATGAAAATAAATCGCGCGCGAAATAACATTGTCAGCAACTGATGATTCATTGATTATGGAGAGATGATTCCCGATTTTCAACGTCTTTATTATGGCTCTGGTTTAAAATAATAAAAACAGCTGGTTCATATGTCAGCCACGTGCCGTGTAAAATCTTTGAAAAATAAAACAAAAAAATTAATTTAATGAAATATTTATTTTCAACCTCTTTATTATTTCCACTCTATTTATTCTACTTGTTTACAAACAAAAAGACAAACGTAAATGCATTTTGATCCTTCTTATTATTTCTAATAGCAAGAACGATAAATAAAAATGATATCCGCAATTATGTACATATATCTTTTATTAGTATATTTTTTCTATTTTCTTTTTCTTGGAAATAAGTATGTTTACTCTTGCAATTAAATTTTTTTCTAACTTGATAGTTAGTGATATTCTTCAAGTTTTTATTATCTTGATTTTAGTCAGAATTTATGTGGTATGTTACGCAATATACATAATTTATATCTAAATATACAAATTGGTATAATGTATAGTGTATATAGATTATACAAAAAATTATTTGGAAATAATGTGTAACTTTTTAATGTATATAATTTAAATAATAATGTGATTTCTTAAATATATACTTTTAAAGTATAATTGCGAATGTTATGCGCAATGTGCGCATATTATTACAATACTGCAATCTTACAACTTTGCCGCTTTTATTGTCAAGATAATTGTATTTTCAGAATAATCTTTCCTCCTCATTATTGTGCATATACTAATTTATTCTTTTTATCTTAATTAAAATATGCTGTTGCAATAAATAATATTAGCGATGCAATGCATTGTTTTTTTTTAAATAATTATATTTAAAGAAAGAAATGTGTGATATTAAAAAATGCATAGAATATCTTATTATCAGTACTATTTTAGCAGTCACATGATATTTGTATAGCAATATATAGTAGTATTTATGTAGTACCATATGTGTGAAATGTACATATATAATAATTGAATAAAATGATATCTGTTATCAAAGAATGGTCTAATAATATATCGACAAATAATATCTAAATAAATTATTTGTATGTTAATAATATTTGAAACATAATAGATTTTCTCTTCAATATAAGAAATAAATTGTTACCATCCTGCACATTTGTATATAAAAATAAGTAAGATGTCTTAATCATTACGAAACAAGAAAATGTTGCATTTGCATCCTACAGTTAGTCTTTTTAACTAAATAACACCTTTATTTCAACATATTAAGTCAAAGTAGATATCTCTTGTAAGAAGAAAAAGAAATTCGACATTGTTCTACTTGAAACCTGTAATTTTGCGGTAAGTGTAATACAAGATTTAATAAGCTGTAACTAGCATTTGGGTTAATGAAATGCTATTAAATGAATTAAATGTCTTCAGGTAGGGCGCAGAAAATAAATCGGACAATTCAAAACATTTGTATAAAAGCGACTCTTTTGTAGCGCCATTAGCATACGCGAGATGTTTATGCTGCCATTAAAATGGGTAAGTTGTTTTAATATAGCTATTTTATCGCACTTTCTAGTTCCAATATATTCTTATAAAATTTTTAGATAATATACATCTTGTTGGTGATCAATTGCATCGACGCACGTTGGCCGCGCGTCGTTCGTCAAGCAGGGTACTCTTATCAACGACCCAGCGTGCCATTTTCATTACCAACAGGAAGAGGCAGTCAACAAGGATATCCATCTCAACCTAGTTATTCTTATCCTGCTCCACCACCACCACCACCTCCACCACCACCACCACTTGCCTCCCCCGCCGCCTCCTCCACCTCCGCCGCCTCCTCCTACCAGCCGCACATATCTACCTCCACCTAGACCACCGCCACCACCACGACCTACACGCCCGCCTGCTACATATTTGCCACCTTCAATTTCAACACCTGGACCAACGTATTTGCCGCCATACAAGCAACAACAAGGAGCCGTTGCTGAATCATCGGCTGCGTCAAATATAGGCGCTTCCTCATTCCCTGCTGGTCAATTGGGTCGTCTTTCCAGTCTTTCGAATGGTTTTTCCACTTTTCCGGCAATCGGCGTGGTGAAGCTAAGCGAGCCAGCCGGCGGCTCGAGCTTTGCAACTGCTTCGAGTTCAGCTAGTGCTAGTGCGTCCAGTGATGCGTCTATTGTGCAACAAAACTATCCAAGTCAATCCATACCTTCCGTATCTATTCCAGCTACACCAATTCAAAGTCCTTTAGGTCCATCTGCAGGTTATCCTGCTTCCACGCCAGGATATCCTTCGGTAACACCGGGATATCCATCAGCTACTCCGGGATATCCTTAGTTTACATCTTTACCTCCGTCGCCTACAGCAGGTTATCGCTAGCTTCGTCATCGATCAGCTAAGTTTTTTCGAAAATTATCCAATAGTTCTCATTTATCTACTAAATTCATTTGGATGTTGATCTTTATTTTATTTCTACACTTAATTGTTCCCGTTTTATAAGTAACATTATTAATGCCAGCAACAAAGATAAATAGATTTATTATTATTAATTTAAATTGTGTTCAAACTTAATAAACAATATTGTGCATTTCAAAATAAGATGAAAGAATACTTTAGCATATATATAGTATGAAAATATATTTAAAATAGCTATTTTTTTATACTTTTTGTTATACTTTATTTAATTCGATCGTAGTTTTTGAAACATGTAAATTGTTTCGAGTTTTTATATTTAAAATGAAATAAATGTATATTTAAACTTTTGAAGAAAAAATAAAACATTATAAAAGTACGACCAAAATTTCAATTATAATTTCTTCGAAACTAGAAAAATAAATTGTTATAAAATTTTTGTTATACTTTTATAATATTTTGTTTTTTCTTCAAAAGTTTGAATATACATTTATTTCATTTTAAGTATAAGAATTCGAAATAGTTTACATGTTTAAAACTACAATCGAACTAAATAAAGTATAACAGAAAAGAGCTATTTTAAATACATTGTCATACTATATATATGCTAAAGTATTTTTTCATCTTACTGTGAGATGCGTAATACTGTTTATCAAGTTTGAACACAATTTAAATTAATAATAATAAATCTAGTTATCTTTGTTGCTGGCATTGATATTGTTGCTTACATAAAACAAGAATAATTAAGCGTAGAAATAGAATATATATATTGCGTTGATGTAAAATAGTTGGGTTAGGTCCAATAATTATAAAATGGAATTAGGTCTTAAGTGAAACCTTATGTGAAACAAAGATTAATTATATTTCAACATATTTTTACAATTGGCAACATTACGCAGTGATGACCACAATAAATATATATATATGTAAGAATGCAAAATGTTGTTTTCTTGTTATAAAAGTACGACAAAAAGTAATTGTTATTCTCGTTCTTGTTATACAGCAAGTAAAATCCAATGCTGATTTTTAAACAAACTTCCTCACATTTTAGCATTAAGTGAATCAAAAATTTAGATGTGAATATGAGAATAGATATAAAAAATATTATCAAATTTTTTAATTACATATATATTTTATGTTCTCAAAAATTATTTGAAAATTATTTACACAAAACCAACAGTTTATACAAACCAACATTTTTTATGCAACAATCCAATAAATATATTTCATCAGATTTTCTTAAGATACTCCATCACAATCTTCTATAAATATCTAACAAGCAGATGATTAATTATTTTAAATACATCCGCCGTTTTAAATATGTCCTTGCGATCATATTTCGCTAATGAGGAAAGATCTTATTGTAATAATCTACTGGAAGCGGTCACACGACACAATACGTCTTATTCGGTAAAAAACTACAAATTAATATGTGAGAGATTAAACTATGAGATGCGACACGTCGGCGGTATAGGCGGCTGGCGACAATCGAATATCGTCGGAGCGGGAGATTGGCCGTTGTCTCAGGTCGCTGTCACCTGGCCAGGCACGACCTGGGCTACGTGAGCCTACGTTTGTCCTAGCAACCGTATCGACCGCTAAGCTCACCGTCGCGGGATCGTTCAAGCCATTGCTCTGGATCCTTCGCTGGCAGCTTTGGATTGACGCTCGCAGAGTTTTCCGTTTCTGCTTACAACAGAATACAATGATTTACTAGATTCAAGTTATTAATTAATTTAATGTAAATTGATTATTTTGATTTAAAAAAAATTGAGATATAATTTTATTAAATTGATTACGCCAATTGAATTGACAATATTACCTCAATCATCCCTCGCCACTTGTCGGCAGCGTGTCTTGCTAGTTCCATCTTTCTCTGCTTACGTATTTGATGTTTCTTGTATACCATCTCGATTATGATTAGACCGACTCCACCACCAATACCGACGCCGACAACGATGAAGACCCCCGCCATGTTCTCCAGACCGAGAGTGTTTGGAGTTTTCTCAAACTGTTCGCATTGTTGCAGGTTACCGTGTAAGATCCAGAGATTATCGAGGCTCTCCATAAAACCACCTAGAAAAAATCATTATTAATGATCAACTTAGATACTTAATATATTAAATCAAACTCACAATCAGTATGCAGTTTCTGCGTTATGAGAGAAATTTAATATTATGCAATTTTAAATTAATATCGGAAGTTACATAACAAAAATTGTAATTATTGCAGTAAATACGAATTTTTCCATGTGGGAAATAAATAAAAAAACGAGAACGAAGCGAATAGCGAATTGACGCGAGCTCACTTTCGTGAAAATCTAAGATCGCCAATGTCACGGCATCCGCCCACGGTGACCCTTTCTGCAAACCGATCCCGTAACCCGAACGGCCAAATAGTTCGCCAGCCGTCACCAACTCGCAATCTTGAGCTGCTTCAAATTCCAATCGCGAGCTATCCCAGATGAAGGCCATTAATTTTCTGAAAAAGGAATAACGTGATCAGTTAATCGGAAAATATACAAAAATATGTCAAATAATATGTTATTAATTAAAGATTATGCTTTTTGCAGATAATTATTCTTCAGGATATACATAAGGATTTATGGATCTCTACGTAAGTGTTACGTGGAAGACCAACGATCCAAGGATCTATACTCACCCAATTTTAATATCGCGAATCGCGTCTTCTGCGGTATCATAATTATTCGCCTCCATCGTGCGATACATATTGGACAATTCTACCTGGCGTCTGAAATACATATCTACGGCGGATCCCTTCACTGTCGCGCACGTCAAGTTCTCCATCGTATTTCTGAGCTTTACCAACACAAACGTTACAGGTATTTATATCGAATTACTTATTAATACGTTTGTTTCATATCCAATGCGTTTATTTTCTCAGAAAACAATTAATTAGTTATTCTCACTCGAGCGTCGTTGATGCCGGTGAGCTTAGTCTTGGGTCGTTCCAAAACGAGGAACGCGGCCAAATTGGCGGTGTACGATGCGACAATGATCATAGCGAATCCGGCCCACACCATTCCTAATACGCGCGCGGAAAAACTCCGCGGAGTACCTGTAGATTTAATTGACGATCGAGAAATTAATTATTAAGATATTCCTCGATTTGAACTTTGAACTTAGAATCGATTTTTCTTTCTAAGTTTATTTTCTCCAAGTGATCCGATTAAATAAACAAAACGAAGACAGAGGAATACGCGCTATTTTTACCTTCTCCTATACCGCTATTTAACAATACACCCCAGGCGAACCAGATAGCACTGGATAGATTGAGAGCGTCTTCCTCGGTGCCGTCGGTGTTGGCTAATTTGAATCTGCCGAAGGGTGAAAATCGATCGAGCAGATACAGAACCAGTGCCACTACATGTACCGACACCATCACCAGAATCCAAAGGGTGTTGCTGAACGGTTGTAAGAAGGAAACCAGGGTAGACGATCTCGAAGGCTGAACCAATTAAAATCTCATTTAATGCATATTTATTGCTGTATAAAATAATTTATATTTTAAATTATTTAGTTAAAAAAACGAAAGGATTAAAAATAGTTAACTTTGAAATATTATGCTGGAATGCTACAGGTGAAAGATTATCTAATTAAGAGAATATATTATGATTTTTATATTATAAAACTTTTTATAAAATATGTATATATTTATGTATCACATAATTTAAAAAATAATTACATAAAAACATTTTTATGTTTAATTTTAAATAAAATGCTTGCTTTTAGACCTGTTTTTTCGTATGATTTAAGATTAATGTAATTAATATTAATGTGATTTTAAAATTAATTCCAGGTGGTACATACCTTCTTTTCAAGAATAGTGATGCCTTGATATTTAAAAGGTTTGCTGAATTCGATAAATTCAGCACGTTCGGGATTGATTGTCAACGGCGCGACGATCATGTCGGCCTGTTCGTTCACTAACTCACCGATAAGACCGGTCCATTCTTTCTTTCCTCCGACTTTGGTATATCGACAAAACACGAAAGATAAAAAATGAAAAAAAAAGAATAATTCAAATTATTAATCTCCCAACTCTTAAAAATAAGAATTTACAAACTGAACGGTAAACTATGCTTTATCTTTTGTAATGTTTTCTTTCTTTAAAAATTTAATAATACTTTTCTTATGTGTATATATTGCAATTCTAATTCAATTACTCACTTGAACTGTTTTTAATCACGTAGCTGCCGAATTGTCCATCGGGCGACAGAGCCAAGCTGTATGTAAAATTGATCGTTTTTGACAATTCCTTCAATAAATCCATACAGTATCCTTTACAACAAAATCGCTTGCCTACAAATGAAGAAGATAAATTATTATTACATTTTCTAAAAAATATCAAACTTTAGAAACATGTCCCGTGTATCTTGGCGTTCCTCTTTTTGTTTTAGCGAAAATGTTAGGAATCGGAACAAGATTTATTACAAAAATTTATTATCCTAAATAAAAAAAATGCTTTTCTTATTTAGTACATTTTTTTCAGTGTGTTAACTATAGGAACAACGTACTTTCGTCGTCCGTCGTGTTGAAATGAGGACACGCAATCTCTTCGGCCATGCACTTGACCTCTCCGTCGTCCAATTCGCGAACGTAAACGAATGGCTTTTCCTCGATTGTCAGCACCTTTAGATGCGTGGGTATCATAAAACCCTCGGGTTTGATTTTTACACGACCCGGCCATATGATGCTGAACTCGTTCACTCGCAACTTCATCTTGGTACCGTTCTATTACCGGTATGTGACAAAATAATAATAAATGTTACATTTATATTATTGTATTAATTATCTCGTTATTTAATTCAGAAGTATAACATTTTTCGATCAAAATGTATATTTAGTAACGTGTTTATAGCCGTTACTCGTTATCGTACAAGTATCTTTTATTAGTTAAATCCAAATCGTAGAATTGATAAAATCGCTACTGGAATTATTCACTCACAGCGGGATAAAAATACTGGCCAACAGACACTTGCGTCTTATTGTTTGGACTCGCATACTGGATGTTGACTATGTCATATTCGGCGAATATGCGATCACCATTGTCATCGAATGCTACTCGACCCGTCGCACCCTGCGGTCGTACCTGCTTACGAATGTACCTAATTGAGAAAGAAATGATAATAATGCAACGGCAATCGCGCGCAATAACAGATTCAGCTATCGTTAAAGATTCGCTAGAACTTTGTTGTTATATTTATTAAAAAATTAGGTATAAAAAAGATGAGAGATCGTACTGGAAGAGGTTCTTGCCAGTTTCCCATATGGAACCAGAATCGCTGCAGTCCTTTGGCGCCTCGGTGATCTTTTCCGTTTCATTCATCGCTCGTAATGCGGATACGAGTACGTGTCTGTAATGAATAAAAAACGAGATAAGTCCTCTATTAGGAGCTTAAAATTTTTTCGAGGTGAGGCCGGCTCTCTATTAAAGATTCGCGAGGGAAGTTCTTTATCTTCAATCGCTAATTTTCAAAAATTGCACGCTAATATCCGAACAAGTTTGAAAAAAAAAGATTCTGAATAAATTGATAAATTTGAAATGTAACGCGATAGAAATACGGATATATTGGAGATACTAACAGACTGTCGGTGATGTGTAATTTTTCTTGAGTGGCGTTGATTAATTTTAATCCTAATAAACCCTCTGGCGCGTTTGGTGCATCCAGTGCCTGCTCGGTAACAATCCACACGTATCCGGCACCGGTCATATTCAGAGCGGCAGCATCTTTGAAAATCACTTTCGCGTCCGTTTTCCTATATTTCGCATCCAAAAACATTTATAAATTCATTTAAATACTTTCCAAAGTCCAGGTTACATCAGATTGCATCAAATTAAAAAATTTACAATTAAAATATGGGAACAAACCTTGTTGTTATTAAAACAAAGTCCTTATTAAAACAAAGATAAAATAATTTATACTTTATACTTTATATCATAAACTAACATTTCTTATTCTATTCTATTACAATCCCTGAAGGAAAAGTTGAGAATTATGATGAATACTTACGAAGCGTACATGAGGCAAACTCTCGACTGTGCGCTCTTCATCTCTATCAATTGGTCCATAAAGCTGTTCAATCCCGGTTCGAATTCAATAACCGATTCAACCTAAAATAGTGATTTAATAACATACAATAGTATATATTTTTTTTTGTGCATTTGACGCAACATACGAGCACTTTGATTTCTACGTCGGCCTCCAAATTTTGCGACGTCGTCTGAAAACGTCCGAGGAGCGCGCGACCGTCCGTGTCGGAGCTATGGATGAAGATGATCTTCATGTAGTTGAAATGCTTCAGCAATTCCACCCAGACGTCCGCCTGATGCGAATACGGCGGTACAGTACGTAAAAATGAGACGTGGATATTCTGCAAAGACGTTATCATGCAATTTTACTTGTTGAATAACGCGATACTATTCGATAACGTGTGCAAGAGATGAGAGTCTATTAATATTTAAATTTTTCAATTCTTAAAGTTCTTAATTTTTTTCAAAACATTATTTTGCACTCGAGAAGAAAAATATTAAATTCTTTTTTGTTATTCATTTCGTGATTTATTTTCGTGATAAATTGCGAAGTAAATAAAAAAAACGAAATTAATTCTAGGTTAAAATATTAAATTATTTCTTTAAATTATTTCTTTTATTTATTTCGTGATTTATTTGTGATAAATCACACACCGTTTTCGAAAACATTCTATATTAATTTATATCATTGTATCCGATTGTGTTAAACAGCATTGCACGTTATCTTTTTGATTATCCTGCATACTTTGTCCGAAAAAGCGGAGTCCCTGGACGATATACCGATTACGGGTATGTGATAAAAGCCGCTGGTATAGGAAACCGCAGCCGGTGACAAATCGCCGATAAGGGGATGCGATACCACTACCGCGTACACCTGTTCAGCTATCAAGGATTTGCAAACGCTCAGTGCGGTTCTGATCGGATTGGAATCCATTTCGATTACTGTATGCTTATATGTGACCCCTTTATTGACATATTGGAAATCGAAATTGAGATGCTGAAACGTACATAAAGATACACATGTACACGCTACAGAATATATAGATGAATAGATGTTAAATGTATTAAATACAATATACAAGTCGCATATTGTACAATATAAAAAAAACTTTAAAAATAAATTTAATAATAAAATTGATATGAATGTATATCTTTGACATTATTTGACACATTTCCAAAAATTGATTTCAAATATTATTTATATTTTTAAATATATGTATGATATATTTATTATATATATTTATATGTGACAATTTTTTTACTAACATTTAACTATTTGTCTAGGAATATCTTATCAATCATAATTTGTCTCTTACGTCGACCGTTTTCCCGAAGTGCGCTTTACTCTCGTTGTTGGAGAGGACGCCGCCGATCTTGAAAAAACTTGGATTATGGTAGTTCATTGTCCTGGCGATGACGAACCCTAAACGTGGAGCATTGTGTAAAATGATAAAGATGAGCGATAGCACAGTCCTCACGTGCAATCTCCTCATTGTGCTGTCACCTGCAGTAAACAAACCCACGAGATAAGTCAGCGAGTTATTAATTTTTCGATTAGTTTTTGAAATTTGTTACGTGCGTGATATGTTCTTTTTCAAGAGTTTGATATTTAACACTTGAAACTAATTATAACATTATTTTGAAATAATTGATATTAAATTAATTTGTTGCAATAAAAGTATCATATAATATTAAATAATTAATTAATAACAATCTTAATCTTTTTTGTATTTTTGTTTTAATTTAAAAAAAGATAAATATCACATTGGTCGCATTTTAATATAACACAAGTCTAAGTCATTAAATAATTATGTCAGCTTTTTTTTAAATAAATGTATATAAAACTCATTCAGATATAAATAAAATAATCCTTTGCTGAATTTTATTTATTGCTAAAGATTAACTGAATTATCGACGAGTTTGTATCCTTCTCTACGATAAATAGCCTCCGCCCTTTTTTCAATGAAAGCTTTTTACATTTCTGTAACGTCAACAAAACACATTACTTCAATCTTACTATGCTTGCATATATTGCCTTCGTTTTTTGTACATATTTATGTTCAAATAGACGCTTATATACCTTTTAATATAGTTTATCAGTTTATCATATAAATTTATTCTCTTGCATTGTACGAATATACATTTGAAAATAATAATTGTTATATTTTATTGTTAAAATTTCATTAATTTTAATTACGATTTATGCATTTTAGGATGAAACAGCTCTTACTTACGTATATTTCTCGACACTTTATTATATGCGCCTTATCTTGGTCTTCTCATCCAATTCTCTGGAGCGAAACAGATCTCCAAGGATCTACTAATTGGGATCCACTGTTTGTCACATATCAAAACCGATCCGCACCCAAGGAAAGTGCACCTTGGAACAGTCCAAGTACTAATGCCTCGAGATAAAGCGCGAGCGCGAGCGAGGGATGTAGTCGCAGATTTGTCATCGATCCAGTCGGATGCTGCGCACAGAAGTCATCCCCATCACAAGGGGCTTGATTATTGAGAAATCGCCAAATTCAAACGTGGTTGATCGAGGGAAAATAATTTGTTCTAATATTTATAATCAATATTGCTATTTAATATGTTTGTATTTATAATCAATATTGTTATTTCTATTGCCGTTTCTGTACCCTCTATAGATTTCCTGTTTATTATGCAAGATTTATGTTACAAGCAATTTTGACCCATTATTTCAAAAGGTAACTTGATGAGATAATTTGAATTTTTTCAACAAAATTATAAAATAATATTAAACTTAATAGCAACTAAATAATAATAAACTAAATAATAATATATTAAAGGGATATTAATAGTTCTCTTTTATTTTTTCGACCTATGATTGAATTACATTTGGCTGCGGCAATTTGTGAAATTGTCATCTCTGTATTTCCTCTATAATTGCTGTTTGATAATTACGGCAATCGAGGGCGGACGGTGCACGCTAGATGACGTAACGATGAACGAAGGTCGACATCAAGGAGACAATCAAATTGAACCGCAATGCGAATAAGCTTCTTAATGATAAAGATTTCGAAAATTGCCGAGTTACTGGCAGTCTCATTGCAATCGAAAGAAATATCAAGTTTATTTAAAACAAATGACAAATGACGAGAGTCAGTTTTGATGCAATTATCAATGCAATGCTAATGATTCGGCAAAACACTCGTCGTATTAATCACATGATTTGTTCATTGTATTATAAGATATCACATCAATAAACCATGATTATAAAATATATATATTATATTATTTAATCATATTTATACACATCATATAAAATTATTATATAATAAATATTTTCTGATAATAAATCATTACATATTTCCTTAAAAAACGACGATAATTTTCTTATAAAGGTATGCTTTAGCTTCTCTTGCAAGAATTATTAAAATAATATTTTTTTAGAACAATCTCAAGATTTGTCCAGTTAGCAACGTTTCATATACAAATACACCTTCTGTCATAATAAAGTTTTACACTACTACATAGATATAGAAACATGAATATAATAACATCAATTTTTTCTTTTAAGCAGTTTTTATTTTCTTAATGCAACCAAAACAGTTGTGTATAAGACTTTATATATTCAAGCATAGAGATTCAACATTCTTTTCTTTATTAGAATAATAATATTAAAATAATATATTTTATTTAATATAGATATAATTATATCGTGCATGGGAAGTGGAGGGGGAGGGGTGCAGTTTTGTTCATCTAAGCAATTTATATGTTTTCGATTCAATCAAGTTTCATCAAATTGCCAACATTCCGGTTGCTAACGTCCTATATATTCGAAATATATAGTTTGACACGTTATTTTCTCTTTTATTGCAAAACTTTGTATTTTTCCATATGTATGTAACCCAATTTTGTGTTGGTCGAGAAAACGATGGATTTTTTGTTTTTACATATACAGTGCGCGGTTTTTTCTGTCAGTGAGTTCGCACGTGAGTCGTGGATGATTTCCGCGAAGATTGTCTTTGCGCGTCAGCACAGCCGAAGTGTATCGATCCCACTGTAAATTTCCAGTTAATGGCAACCCTCCACCACGTAGACTGCGCATGCACCCCCGAACTCACCGTGTGTTCACCGAGAGCCTTTAGTCTACTCTACAAGGTCGGAAGAAGTGTTTTAATAATCAGACAAGAGGATCCTGATCGCGTCGACTTTTTCACCTATTCCTGTTCATTCAGCTTATCCTCGAAAGCCAAAATCGAAAAGCACTAAAGCCCCACTGAGGGGCTCGAAGATTACAGTCGAAGGAAAAGGAAAGAAACGAAAGGGGTTGCGTATGCCATTGTAACGGTATTACTATACGATAGGTGAATCTCGTTGTACCAGGTAAAGAGATAAATTCGTTCTCCATTCAGTGGAGAAGAAGAGGTGAATCTGGTGTGAAGGGTGAGACAGCTCGAGGAACCATCGAACGACTAGAGAAGAGACCAAAGTACAAGTAAACCACGCGTGACCAACCAAGTAATATAATCCAATGTATTACGGTCCCCCCGGTTCCGCAGAGGAAGCCGCCGAGGAAACATGTCGCTACCACGGGAATGGAGCTTTCAGGACGCGTGTCGGGCATCGAGATTGCTCGAGGACACCGACCTCGGCGTCGTCGCAACGGCAGCGTCGTCCCAGGAGATGGTCGTCACAGGCAGCAGCGCGATCATCGACGAGAATATGAATAATCAACCGGCGACGCAGCTGGGCTCGTTGTTTTCCATCCACTCAGCCCCGGTGTTCGACCTGAGCGGCAGCGTCGCCGTCGGGGCACCCTCGCCGAATCAACCGGGATCCCTGGCGGTCCAGGTGACGGCGACGTCAACCCCGATCGTCCCTCCACATTTGCAAAGCCCCGAAGGCACCCTTCTCGAGGACGAGGACAATGACAACCTGCTGACGATATCCAGTCTCACTGCCCGGCCGCTCATCGCTAAATCCAGGGAGCTCAGGTCGGTGTCGGAGCGAATATTCAGTGTGTTACGAGAACCAGATATCGGGAAGATGAAAGACGGCGATTTAATAATTAAGGAATTAATTAAGATTTTAATAATATCGAAAGCACATCTTTTGAGAACTTCCTATGTCCTTATACAAAATTGGAATATTTTTGTTGAATTTATAAATATTCTTAATCCTTTTTTGTGTAAACAATTGTACACGTATATAGAAAAATATTATATAACCAACTTGATAACGACTAGTTGATATTTCGACTGGTGTAAGAAATGACGATAGATCATAATTTATCTCTCCGACAGGATCAGGACAAGTCAACGCAACAGAAACTGGAGCTGCTGTTCGCCAATGATCCAACTGCCCGGCACAATATGTTGAACGAATTGTTCCACCAGAACAGCAATGTGGTGGCGATCGAGTTGACCGACAGCGATGAGGAGAAGGATGTGATGGGCGAAGGTCTTCCTATGAAGTCCATCGCCAAGATCCGCAGTTCCAGTATCCTGCACAGCGTGGAGGATCTATCGACGGACTCGACGTGTGTGTACAAGGCCGCGAGATCGTCGCAAAGATCGCTAAAATCGTCCGCGACGGCGACGGGTCCGGCAGAACAGCAACAGCCACCGCCGTCGCCGCCAAGCAGGATGCCGTCCTTGACACCAACAGCATCGACGGAAACCAAGATTACGTTCATGCAGAGAGTGACGCGCTATCTCGATCTGTCGCTGCTGAAGAATCCACAATTCATCATGATGTGCATCTCCGTCAGTTTGATGTCCACCGGCAGCCCGTACATGCTATACTACCTGCCGGCGTACGTCCACGCCGCAGGTTACACCAAATCAGAGGCTGGCTATCTGGTGGCCATTTCCGCTGCTCTCGACTTGTGCGGTAGACTCGGCCTTGGCTGGCTGTCGGATCTCAAGCTGTTCGATCGGCGGAAAGGATATATCGGAAGGCGAGCGATTTTATTTACGCATGACACGTGCTTTTGTCTCCGTGAAATCTAATTCAAGCGTGAAAAGATTATTATGGAGTATATCGTATCGATTATAAAAAACATATATAAGAAACTTTATGTCCTATAGAAAATTCTCTTATTTTGATCATTTTGCTAAAAATCATATAGATCGACTATGATATTTACGATCGAATCATTTCTATTTGTTTCATTCGCTGCTCCGGAATTACAAATCACCATCCATTTGGAAGATATTTTAGGATCTTGGAGATACTATTTTACACTCTTTCTTTAGTCTGGGTATTAAACAAACAGAAAATTTATTATTTAAAAGCGATATTTTTAGAGAAATTTTTTCATGTCTGAGAGAGCTTGGAGCTAATACGGATCAAAGCATAATTATTTATACCGATGTCTCTTCTCTTGTCACTGAGCAGTGTAGTGGGTGCCGGCGTGGCGGTCCTCGCGATCCCGATGGCTCACTCCTTTTACGTATTGGCGTGTTCTGTCGGCATGTATGGACTGTGCCTAGGCTGTTGGTTTCTCCTAGTTCCCGTCCTGCTCGCCGATCAATATGGCACCGACAAAATATCGTCCAGCTATGGTCTGGTGAGGATGTTCCAGAGCTTTGGTGCAATTTCCATTCCACCACTCGCAGGTACTTTTCAGCTGTAGAACTATATACTAATGTTATTTCCCAAAAACATCTGTTCTTTTCTTTAAATTGGATTAAAATATTCTTTTAATTTAAATTCATTAACTATATTCACATACAATTTGAATTTATTAATTATTCTAAAAATCTATAACTGTGTAAAAGTAATGAATGGAATAATTCTCGTGCATCCTCAAAGAAAACAGCAAAAATATTGAAACATACTATATATCATGTTAATTATGTGCACATAATTATGTCAAAGGTGTGAAGATAAAAATATAAAAGCTGCATGCGCGCATACAATATACATCAGATTACCAGGGATGCTTTTTAGCTTAATGATTTTTATAATTACCTTGAGATAATTGGCTATGAAAATATCGTTTACATCCTTTTTCGAGATATTGAGATTTTAATCGATTTTTTTAATTTCTCCAGATTTTTTTCTCTTAATAAAATTTTCTCTCTTAATAAAAGTTTCTCTCGACCGATACAATGTTGTATCGATATATTTATTATGATTAAAATAGATCAAATATTGCAGTCATATTATTATACCAATTTGGAATCGATTTTTCCTTATTGTTAAAAAAAAAATGTCAGAAAATGTCACATGTTAAAGAAATTTCATTCGAATTACAAGCGATTGAAAATGGATAATATTTTCACAAATTAAACTTCAAAGACAAAAAATGTAGCAAAATCTTATATTCCTCATTTAACACAAATAAAACTAAATTAAATTTTGAAGGAAAGATATTAATTCTAATATCAAATTTAAAAAAAAAAAAAAATAAAGAATTAAAAAATCTATTCCTGAAATGGATTCCATATATTATATAATATTCTCTATATTTAAATCATCATATTAATTAATCTTTATGAGATTCTCTCTTAGATGGTAACGTTGTTCCAGGTTACTTGCGCGACGTAACCGGAAGTTATACCGTGTGTTTTCTGTGCATGGGTACATGTATGGTTATAGGAGGTTTACCTCTGCTTTTGGTTTTCAATGAGAACCAGACAGATCCAACAACAGCAACAAAGCTGCCCGTAAACGCTGAGAATAACAATCGTCAAGGGGACACTACCGTAAAAGAGTAAATTATTTTGAAAATGTGATCGTTGATAATATGAAGTGATCTATAATGTGTAATAGGAAAATAAATAAATCATAACAGTTGTCACAAAAAAAGGAAACATTACAAGCGTTTATTGAGCTTTTCCAAGTATCAATAAACTTTTTCTCAATCGATTTTTCTCATCTCCCGTACTGAGACAGAATATTGTCGCCATGTGCATTAGATAAATTTAATTTAAATAAAAAAAGTATAAATTTGAAATTTAAAAAATACGTTCACACTATCCATGCATTTTATCTTTAAAATTATTTTTCAAATCTTTTTTGCTTTGTTCCCAACATTGTAAAGTTATAAGTATTTCCCATCCACATCCTTTCTGATAAATCTAAATAATATTTACTTCATGAACAGTAAACATGTTAAATATAAACTGTTTTAAAATAAAATGTTTTTACTTTGTTTATCTTTATTATTTACATCATATATACAAATCTTTATTACCACAATTCAGCTCTTAATATAAATGTATACGAAATTCATATTTTGGAGTTTTATGCAATATTTAAAACATTGACAATAAAATATAAAATATAAAATACTTTTTTACATGTAAATCTAAATATTTATGTAAATAAAATACACATTATGTCATGACTTTTATGTATTTTTATCTTCAAATAGGTAAGTATAACGATTGCTATAAATAGATTCCACAAGAGTTATATCGGAAACTCTTATATGGCAGTTAGTTATATTTGTAGATAAATCTGTATAGAAACTGAAATCGATGTATATCGGTAAATTTCCGATGCTGTAGGAACTCGCATTACACCGCTTACCTTCATTTTATTTGCGCCTTACTACTGCACATAGTAAAGCAATCATGTCGAACTGATGTTGTTGGATTTGTCAAAGAGATACGCATGTATCTATGTCTATTTTTAATTTCACATAGGCTTCCAAGCTACCACTCTCATCTTGTTGTTAAGTTCTTGCAATATGAGAGAACAAGTGAGTTGTTTCTCTGGAGATAATCCATTGATCCCATCCATTTCATCATCATCATCGCCCACGCCGCTATTACTGCCACTCTTGCCCTTTCCCTTTCCTTTCCGCTTCTTTTTTTTATTCAACTGGCGACAATCGATATCACTTGTAGTATCCGTGGTTTGTCTGATCTAAAAGAATAATTTACTACTAAAAATATGAAATAAAGAAATGATATTCTGTATTCAATAATATTAAGACAGAATGTAATCTAATTATATAATCATATAAACTTATGCAATTGAGTGTTAATATAAAAAGCAATATTGTATTTTCTAAAAATATACTATAATATAAATTTGATTATTACTTTGGTATTTTTTTTCGTTTGTTTGTCATATTCCAAAGCATCATAATAATTTGGTTTCTCGCGTTTAATACGATTAGTTCTTCTTGTCTTCATCACTCCACTGTCAGGACTGGGTGGACTTTTGATAGAATTGCGCCGTGCATTGAAAAAGGAATGTCCACAAGGACAAGCTTTGCACGCAACAGGTACCTTATAATATATATTATAAGTGAACAAATTTATTAACAATATTTTTTATTCAATGGACAATGCAATTTATACGCATTAATTTTTTAAAACAAGAAAAAAAAAATATATATATATATAATGTATATATCAGTAACAATAAACACAATAAAATAATATTATTAAAAATAAAATTCTTTATATAATCAATATATATTATAGATATATGCATAGATTATTTGACAATTTTCCTTTTCTTTTCCATATTTAATTAACAGATTAAAATCAATGAATACCCAACATATGCATTCACATATATAGAATGCATTTAGAGACAAAGACATACACAAAGAAAAAATATTATATCCCGTTTATTCTTATTTTACATATATTTTTAATATTATATTTGTCTATCAAAGATTTATTTAAAACAGAAAAGATGTTTGATAAGCATGTAGCCAAAGTAGAAGCTAATTATATATATGGCGAAGATTGAGAATATTACAAAACATAAATAATATATAACTTTACATATACAATATATATTATATTTAATAAATAAATATAAATATATACGAGGGAGACGATTTCAAAATACCTGCTGTTCGCACTTGGGGCATCCTTTGCTAATCGTTTTAGTTTTGGCCATATTTCGGGCTGGGTTCTATTCAGTTCTATTGCACATAGACAAAGAGATTACACTTTTCTTTTCGATTCAGAAATATAAATATATCACAATTGTAACAAAGAAATGAGCGATTGTGGCTCCTTCAATGCAGCGCCGCCAACTATATGCGCGGTATCACATTGAACTAAGATGTCAGAAATAAATACATTTGGATCGTGCTTATACTATCCTCAATATATGTTCAATTTCATTTGGGAAGACATTTTTGACCTTGCAAAATAAAAAGCTCTATCAAAAATTGAGTATTCATTGTAATCGAGAAAGAACTAAACATATTTTTTTTTTATAAAAGGCGAGATTTTATCAAACTGAAAAACAATAGTCAAAATTTAAATAGATGGGTATTTGGTTTTCAAAACCAAGAAAAGTCATTTGAAATTAAAAGATTTTTGTTTTTACATCTTTATTTACTTAAATAAAAAGTTAAAAGAAAAATCCTAAGATTTTTCCTCCAAGATGTTTCCTCCTGGCTTCTTCATGGTCCATGATTCCTCCACTAGTAGTCAATACAACATATCTGAAATGTAAATAGAATATGTATGTAATGTAGTGCAACATGCATTATGTATTTTACTTTTAATTCTTGGATTTAAATAGACGCAATTAATTAAACTTTCTCTCATCAATTTTTTTTGCTCATTATTAATATTTATTATTTTGCGTTATTACACATAATTATCTCAGTAATTTGTTGTATAAATAACTAAGAACAATATAAAATTGCATATAATATAAAATAAATATCATCTATCATTATTTATAAAGTAAAGTTTCTTGATTATTATTTACAGGTAAGTACTTACCCGAACTGTCGAGAAGGTAAGAGATTGTTGGTCCATTTCTCAATGTCATTGATCGGTACGTCAAATCTTGGAGAGATAACTCCACATTTGTTTAATCTTCCAGTAAGGTTCACTACCACCTTTCCACTGCGATGGTCATCCACAATCTCAAACTCTCCAATATATCCTGTATACAATAGATATTTGTTTAAAGTGATTTTAAGTCTTTCCCTTCCTCATATATGTGTGAAAAAAATTATATATTTCCATAATTATAAAAATGTGTGTAAAATTATATATCACACACATGTATAAGAAATGAAATGTATATTATAAATAATATAAATAAACTTTCCTTATACAAGATTTACTCACCATGCTTCATCATGACAGTCAAAAATTTGACAATCACTTTGGAGCAGGGCCTCAACAATACCTGTCGCTTTCCGCGCTTTTCGGCATTGTTGATGGATTTGAGAGCATCACTGAGAACGTTCATACGTACCATGGCTGAAAATCAAACGTGATAAGTATTAACCAAACATATATACATTGCACTGTACAATAATGTAAATTATATCACTATGATTATTTTATAAATATCATAGAGTTTCTTCGTAGAGTTTAAATCATAAATTTATTTTATCGCACATGTCAGCTAATGGAAAAATGACTCTGCTGCGTAAATTGAAACTATTGTATTTCTATTCCTTTAATTTTCCTACAATAAAATCTAACCTATCTAATCTAATCTTTGTGAATAGTACAAATAACCAATTGTAAACTAATTATTATTGCACAGGTCACACAAAAATATAAAGTAAAGCAATAGTTTGGCAGTTGTAAATATTGTGCTCTTGTGTCTACGCGATACAAATTTTTCAAATTCAAACGAAGAGAGCAGCTACATGAGCGACGATCGCCACCGGTTCACTTCGTATCTCAATATTTCTCCAACACTTTGTCGCGATCGCGAAAAATTCGATCACCGGGATACGCGGATGGATTTAATATACCCTACGATGTATCGATGTAAATCCGATGGGTTCTATCACGAAGGATTACCTGCGATTTGTAATTTGTTTATCACAGTACCATACACGCCCGTTTTTACTCGAAACGTGAAGAGAAAGAAGCAGCGAGGCTAGGGTTGCTGACCAGCTGGTTAGAGATCAGCGTTGCTAGAACTTTCTTCGCGCATGCGCCTAGTTGGAATCCCGCAGTTTCGCCATCTTGACGGAAAAACATCATTGCATCGGACAAAAAATTCATTTATTCGATTTCCCAATATTATTTAATGAAAAAATCAGATAATAATATAAATAATTAATTATATAGATTTCTTTATATAGATATTTATAGACTTTATGGAGGATTTAAATCGCGTCCAATATCTGATCTACAATATTCGATATTCAATAGGAAGCTATTTCCTAGTAACAAAAATGTCGTCGCCTAGAGACTCTAGAAAGCACGTTCTCCTATTGGATATCGGGGACACATGGTGAATTCTTCATTTGCGTCTTTGAGTGCCGGTCTACAATAGGTGATTTAAGCCCTAAGCCTTATGCCAGTATCAGACTACGCATTGAAAATTGAAGATTGAAGATTAAAGATTGAAATTTGACTAATCAGAACAAAAGAGACTAAAATTTCTTTGTCCTGTCTTAAATCACCTATTGTAGACCGGCACTGAAGGAACACACCTCTCGTTTGAAAGCACGGAGCACGTTCACGTTGCGGATACACCACTTACGTACGTATTCACCTCACCACGTCGATAAAGCAGCTCGGTCAGTCAGATCTTGGAATGAGCAGCAAGTGGACGCGCCAGCGGAGACTCGATTGTCTCGGTCGTTTCGTATTAGTTGTCTTGGTCGCCAATTTCCTCGGCTCCGTCTTCTCGATCGATCGTCGATCGATGTTTCGTCGTGTATAGTTCGTCATTCGCGTTACACCGTATCCATATCCGTACTGTGTCGTGTCGTGTCGTCCTGTTCTGTTGTGTCGCGTATCCCGTCGCCTCGTCGTAGGGGCGCCTACTGGGCGCGATCTGTTCGTACGGTATATACTCGTCGCGGACCGGTGCCCGGGGAAGACTCCAGCCTCAGAAACTCTGAGAGAGAGAGAGAGAGAGAGAGAGAGAGAGTGACGGACCGCCGTTTATCATCGCGATTGCCGCATACGGCGGTCGTAGCGCCGTGACGTTAACGGAGGGTCACGACTCGGAGTCTCGCCGACTTCGTCATGCTGTCAGTCGCAGCGATCGCGACGACGACGACGACGTTGACGTTTCCCGGATCGAGGAGAAGAGACGCGTTCTCTCGCTGCTGATATGGGGCCGATATTAGTCGAACGCTTGGTCCTCAAATCCATGAGCTCTCCCTACTTGAAAAATAAATAAAACTCAAGTGACTTCTTGAGGAGTGCGAGACGACGTTCTTTTCTAAGGTAGACGACCAGGCTCAGGATGGCTTCGACCTCCAGCAGCACGTCGCCCGACGTTCAAGTGCTGATGGGCAAGGGAAAACGCGGGGCGGCCGCCTATATCAGTTTGACCACAGGTCGGGACACCGGTGGTTGTCCGCCGTATCTCAATGAGCTGCTGGACGTTCTGTTGAACCCCAGCAAGCCCATCGACGATTGGGAAACCATCGACTGGTGCAAGTGGTTGATGGCCGGTGGTCGCACGCCCGACGAATTCGCCAGTACAGGTGGATATCCGCGATTATGGTCTTACAAAGGGATCAATAAAATGTTGTGAAAAAAACCTTATCTTTGAATTATTCCATGATACGAATTGTTCAAGCAGTCAAAATTGCTTTTGCAACTTGTTAAAGAGAGCAACACATTTTTTCAGTCTCTTGTAAAAAAATTTTTATTGTTATTTTTTGTCCCTTTATTTATTGTTTTCGTTATTCAATGATGCAATCAACATGAAACTAAACTATTTTTATAATAAACACTTGCTTGTAGCTTGTGATAAATTATTAACATTTTATGTACACAGGAAACTATCATACTTATTAAGGGCTTATTTTTTAAGTTCATAAAACAACAAAATTATTTATACAGATAATTAACAATTTATGATTATGTAAGATTTTCAGTATTACTCATCAAACATTTTTATTAGATATATATTTACGATAATAAAAATTGTAAAAACAATTTATATATATATATATANNNAACTTACAATATTTAAAATATTTGTATATATATAGTTATGATAAAATTGTTGCTTAAATCTTTATTGATATTTTATTACTGTATATAAAATTTATATGTAGTATTTAGATGTGAAAATTTATGAGCACATTTAATTTTTTACATTTAAATAATATGACTTGTCTTGTGACAAAATTAAATATATCATCATAAATTGCTATTGAATTATATATTATATATAAATAGGACTGTATTTTTATTATAAGTAATTCACTTGACATTTCTTTTTTATTTACAACATCACATGATTTATAAAAAAGATGTGTGGTTATAAATATACACAAATTGCGTATTTGGCAGTGCTAAATATTTCAGATAAAGATATAGTTATGAGAAGACAAGTATAGATAGAGAGTTACAGCTATAGTCGACGAATTTAACCTAACTTGTGTTACAAGAATTACATTATATTTTATGTTCCAAATGTTACATAAGGGTAGTTTTATGAAAGGATTGAAAGAAACATTTATTTTTATATAAAAATTTATTTTATACAAGAATGATATAAAATATACATAAATCAAAAGTAATATATATAATTTATAGCATTACACTTAGATCACTTGTCTTACTGTTTATATCTTGTATGTTTTGCACTTACATTATTAAGAAGAATTTTTAATTATGGCTTTAAATATTCCGAAAATAAATTAACAAATTTGCGCTTTTACATATATTTCATACTTATTTTATATTCAGGTATTCGAATTTTTTAATAAAACAATAAACACATTACTAACAAATTACAGAATTACAGAATATAATAATTACAGAAATATACTTTTATAGAATTATTTTCTTAGGAAAATAAGAATTTTATTATGGACAAAAAAAGCTCATTCTATTTACTGATCAAATTCTTGATTTTTTTTCAGTACGTACCTACGATAATGCTACTACTTGTGGTCTGGTATGGACACCAAACTTTGTAGCATATCGCTGTCGCACATGTGGCATATCTCCCTGTATGTCCTTGTGTACCGAGTGCTTCAAAAAGGGAAATCATCATCGTCACGATTTCAATATGTTTCTCAGCCAAGCAGGTGGTGCATGTGATTGTGGCGATACATCTGTGATGAAGGAGACTGGGTAATTAATAATTTTTAAAAACATCTCATATAGTAATGAAAATCTGTAGGATATATTACATTTCGACTTTGTCTATATAAATATTCATTTTTTTTTTTTAATATTACTGATTTTTCTTTTCCTTTTTTTTTTTTTTTTTTGGTTAACTCAATTCATCAGTAAATATCTTGATGAGATACCGCAGATTTCCTTACCGAAATTTGCCGAATATTTTTTTGTCAGTTGTTAATTTGTTTTTTATCTTACAGATTTTGTGATAGGCATGGGCCAAAGGCTGCTGTAAATAAATCAGTCGCACCATCGGATCTGATGTGTGTAGCCGAGGCAATGATGCCCAGAATTATTCTTCGACTTATACAACATTTACGTGAGAATTGGTATGTTAGACATTATATACTTTCACAGAAATTATTATTAACCTTTAGAATGATGAGTTTTTAGCGGATAGTGGTTTTTTCTGCTATATTTTACAGAACATATGAATAAGTGGTATGTAAAAATAAACTTTATCTACTTTTAATCTTCTTACCTAATATAAATTGATACTTTATAATAGCTTGCATGTATATATTCTAAAATTACATAACACTCTCTCTCTCTTTCTCTTTTGTGTTGTATAAAATGGCTACATTTTAAGTAGGAAAAGTTTTCTGATCCATGCTTACTAGGACTCTTTTTCTTAATTTTCTTAATTTTTTTTAATATACATATGTATAACAAGGTCTCCAATTAAAAAAAAAATAATAATATAGAAACAAAATTGCAATAATGTATGTTAGTAAAAATATTAATAATTTATTACTATTTTGTTCATTTTAGTAAAATGGGTGTGCCAGATTATAGAGGTGCTATACATGAAGCGGATTCATATTTGACCATGTTGCTAGATTTGAACAACATGGGCGCATTAATGAGACACGTTATGACATCAGCTCTCACGAATCCGCAAAAGTACCGAGGCCTCATGGATCCCTCGGTCTTAACGGGACAATCCGAGTACGATAGCTATTGCCAAGATAGCAATAAAATATATCAGCATGCCGTAAAATCGCTACCGAATCCAGAACCACCTGATGAATATAAAGGTAAATAATGTTGATATATAAAATTGATATAGACAATTCGTATTACGGAAATTTCAATAACTTCAATAATAATTTCTAACGCGATAAAAACACAAAATAATTTGTATGCATACCACAATGACATTAATGACGCGATTCACTTCGTTTCAGAATGCGTGTCGCTTCAAGAACACTTAGAGCACACTACATTCTTGGAGGAACTGATGTTTTGGACGGTTGCTTACGAATTTCCGCAGAAATTGGTTTGTCTGCTATTGAACATGTTGCCAGATCCTGATTATAAAGAAGCTTTAACTCGCGCCTTTGTGTTGCACTATAGTAGAATCTCTATGATGCTCGAGCGTTCTACGGATCCCGATACGTTGAGCAATAGAGTAGTACATGTTAGCGTACAGGTAATTTTATCTTATTACAGATAACAGATAGATAAAGATAACAGACTTAGATAACAGATAGCAATATCGCGGATATTTGATTAATCATAGTCTATGGTAAAATTTCTTTTATATATATCTCCGAACCACACAAATTATACTTTTATTCACATAATTGCATTAAAAAATTTTTCTTTTTCCAAAAAATAGTACTAGAGTATGCAATGATTGGAGAAAAAAGAAAATATATAAATGATATTTATTCTAATTTTGTATAATATGAGAATAAGATTTTCATCTACAATATATTTATTTCTTTATATATGTATAAAACGTATTAATTTTTAATCTTTGTAAAACTTTTCAGCTATTTAGCAACGAGAAGCTAGCGTTGAGGATGGTTGACCAGTTGAAATTGTTACACGTTATGGTTATTAGTTTGAAATACATGATGAGCAAAATACTCATTCAAAATACCTTGCATGGTATGTTCTGCAGTTTTAAAATCAGGATGGATCAGAATGCGTGAATTCAAGTTAAAGAGCAAAGATTAATAGAAAGATTTATTTCAGATCCGGATAAGAACTTCCATTATGTTGTGGATTGTGGACGTCAAGTGATGAAGGAACATTGTTATTGGCCATTGGTGTCTGATTTAAACAATGTGCTCTCACACAAACCCGTCGCGGTCAGATTCATGAGCGATAACACTCTTTTGGAAATGTGGTTCGACTTTCTATCCATGTTTCAAGGCATGAACGTCAACCAGAGAGAGTTGAGCCAGCATGTCGAGTTCGAACCTAACACTTATTACGCGGCATTTAGCGCGGAACTGGAGGCAAGTGCATATCCAATGTGGGCTCTAGTGTCACATCTTCGGGGACCCGAAAGTGCAACATTAAGTCGACGGGTGCTTACCTTCTGCCTTACAGCTTTGCAAGACTGGCTAGACGCCGTGAACTACACTCATCCAAACGTGGTGAGTGTAAACTCTTGTTCGTGTTCTATGCATATATTGCGTTAGAAAATTAGTTATACACGTTGTTCTTCACTTTTTTTCAGAGTGATAGTTTGCAAGTGTCATTTCATCTACCGCTTCATCGATATCTCGCCGTGTTTATGTGTCAGGCTATCCGACAACAGGGAGCAACTCTGCGCGAATTACTACCGCCCACGGACATGTTACATCTCCTTATGATGCATCCATTGCGAGTGCAGGTGAGTACCTTCATTTCTCTTTTTGTTTCCATAGATCCTTCGCAATTCCACGATACATGGCTAATATTGTAATTCGTAAAAGTAACTCTTTAATCCTTAAAACTGGAGATTTAAATTTAAGAAAAATGAATTATATGGTTATATTTGATTAGAGATTACTTGATTGGTCTAATGAAAAAGATAATCAAAATATTTCGATTCGCGAAGGATTAATAATTTGAATGAAGAACTTCTTTTTAATTAACAGCATTTATATGCCTAGGATATATATTATTCGCAAAAATTTATCATATATGCAAATATGACATTTGCCATTATATCAATTTATTTTCAAAGATTTGTGTGCATTTATAGTTACATGACAGAAAAGATAAAGAAAAGTTCGTCATGTACAGTATAAAAATATTACAAAGTTGATACAATAATTCTAAATAATATCTGCTACAAAACTATAACTAAATCTGGAAAACAAAATCATTTTATATAAAATTGCAATATAATAAAAGAAATTATCATGTGATATATACTAATCTAATACTAATCCTAAATCTAAAATGAAATATTTTCTTATGTTATAATTTTAAATCTTAATTCTGAAACATATTTAATGGTAACGAAATTGAGTTGTGCAAAGGAAATGGCAACAATTTGTCGTCACAAATACTTATCTACATATTTCTAAACTCATGCAATATTACATTCAAATTGTAAAAAAAATTGTTAATATTAACGAAAACTGAAAAACGAAGGAATCTAATTCATACATTTGACGATAAATCAAAATTTACGTCAAACTTTATAGTTACATCAAACTTTAATTACATCTCATACTCATCAGTATAAAAGTCATCAATTTATAGAATTTATAAATTCAGGAAGCTTTATACATCATTTTTTTTTGTTTATATATAAATAAGTTTTATGTTTTATGTCTATTACTTCAATCTCTTTATCAACTCTTATTTTTATTATTTTATATTTTAATTAATACAGAAAAATTTTAAATTTGTGACTGTAGTGTTTTAATATAAATCGATCACTTAACATTTTTAAACAAAGCTTAATTTCAAGACTGCCAACATAAATTATTAGTAAATTGTTGATTTGGGATATATACGATGCACTAGTAAACACACAATTGATTTATTATGAGTATTAATAATTAATATATCGAAATTAATGAAAAAAAATCTCTATTTAAATGTAATTACAAAGAAGAGGGAATGCTTAAATGTAATTAGTCTTAATTTAATGAATGTTAGCTTTATATCAAGAATCTTGATATTCTTGATCAGATTTCCACGAAACAAAATATACTAAGATATATCTGATTGCAAATGATCAATAATATGTTCTCTATATTTCTTAGAATGAAAAGCCATTTTCATAATTGCACTTTGATTCGAAATGTAGAAAGTCTACAAAGATGGAAAGTTTTAAAAACAAAAACATTTTTAACTTTATTGCATCTTAAATTTCGTATGTCAATACTGATTTTTCTCGCATTATCTTTACTTTATTAAAAAAAGATTCTTTTTTCCATAAAATTAAAACTTTCGACCTTTAATATTTCGTATACGACTCGATACGTTGCACCTTCGTATTCACTTTGATACTTATGTTAAGGTCCTTGGTATAGGTTTGTGTGTATATATATATATATAAATCACAGGTTCTTCAATCGCGTTATTTCGATGAAAAGTGTGAAAGATTCTTTACATGGCTGTTATCTCGTTCGGGGTCTCGAGAACCGGCGGTGTTGGTGGTAGGTCGACTTGCAGATGCGGCGCGAAGTCGTAGGTGATCAATTTCAGGGCGGCGAACCCGCCTGAACCCTTTCGACCCTTATGAAAGATACCAGCGCCCGCGATCGGTACCGGTGGGTTCGGTATGATTGGTTGAACATCGAGGAAGGGAATCGTGCTCTGCGCCGCGTCCTTTCGTCGATCGCTCGGTGCGAAGTTCAAATATTGATTCATCGCGGAATCCGGTTCGTTCTGCACGGGATTGCGAATCGGTATGTCGGGTTCGATAAACTTCAGCTCCGTTCTGAAAATGCAAATACATGTTAAGAGTGTTACAATTAAAAATTGAGCTTTAACTCGACGATAGAAGGGTTAATTAATATTGCGAATATATTTATAAATACTACTAAAATTTAATATCACAGCGAACTTAAGCTGGGAAGAAAAAGACTTTCGTACCTGTCAGTAACGTCGTTGCTATGCCAGAAAGTCTTTTCCTCGGGTTGGATTAATAATCCGGACGTGAAATTGAACGGAGTCACCATTACTTCCAAGTTTAGACGGCTACCAACCATTCGGAATCGAACGCCTAAATCAGATTTATATTGTGATATATAATTGCGTTTAATATATAATTATATTTTTACGAACGATATATTTCATATTAAATCATATCACAATTGTAATGAGAATATAGGAGGGTTTACATAAAATTTAGACGTCAATTAAAATCGATTTTTTAAATTACCTGTCAGGAGATGATCTTGCGACGACTGTAAATCGTCGAGGTCCAAAGCGCGTTTTTCCCACACGAGTTTATGGTAATCAATGCCGCTTCTAATGTTAGCGTCCATGATCGAAAAAGCATCGACCGGTTGCCATTCAGTCGTGGACGTATTAATCGCTCCACGTGGAAGCAACTGACCCTCTTGAATTTGCATATGAATAATCTGGTTTATCTTCTTTATTCTTATCCCTGTTATAACTCTGTCAATGAGTAGATATTGTATTTTAAATTTTATATTACACATCTCATCGAATTCTATTAATTCTATTGATTTCTTCATTGAATTGGCTACACGATTTTTACCTATTATTCGAGATATCGGACATCACGGATCGGAGACTAAAATACCGATCGGAGCTCGAATTGTGATCGTCGCAATAGCAAAAACAATAACTGCAATGCCAGAAAAGCCACCGCCACCAGCTGTCGACTTTGGTCGTGCCTCTGTTACACGTATTTTTGTTTCCGTAAACGAGACCATTCTCATATTCAATATACTCGTATCGTCTATTGCTGTTTTTATCCTAAATGGATAGAATATTCGAATTAATAATTGCAAGATTGCTCTCACCCACACACATATCACGCGTATTTCCTTTTTTAAGAAGACGAAACTTTAAGACTCCATTGAGTATTTTTTTCATAATAATTTCTCTATTTTTGACTACATTAAAAATTTATAATCTCTCTAATTTTTTAATTTTCCTATTCTGTATAAGCTTGATTTTAAAATTAATCTTAAATTATACTTTAGCTACTTTTCTCCGTATTATACAGTTGAAATTTTTTTAAACTTTCACCGAACTTTTTTCTCTGCGATATACAATTTATAAACTACCTAATCACATGTATATCCTGAGGCTAAAAATACTCACTGACGGACAAATCCACATATCGGAATCGATGTACTCGCAATGCAATATCTTTCCATTGCACCGGCGTTGTTGCACGCAAAATTGATCCTTATAGCAACCGTGCACCTTAGTATACGTATAATAAGCGCAGTTCTCCTTGCACGTGTTATCGCTGTTCAGATCTACCTCGTTTACGATGTATCCTTGAAACAGCTGCTTCAATTCGGTATAAGTTTCATCTAAATAAATCGTGTATATAAATTATACATATTTATATAAATTATAAATCATATCAATTGAACAATTGAGATATATAAATCTGTATAAATTAATTATCCTATTTTTGGGGGAGCTTTACCTAACTTATGTACACTCGGATCGCATCTCCAAAGATCTCTCGGAGCAAAAGCCATTGCGGTTTTGACGGCTCTTAACGTCTCGGATGTCCTGATCTCATATTGATGTTTCAGCGTCTGAATCTCCTCGTTAAAGTTATTGCCTGTGTTAAATTTAGGGGATTAGATACATTTACGTATCCTAATCGTGCATCCCACTAGCTTTTTCGTTTCACACGATCCGGAAACCAAAATTTCACGATTACCTTTATAAATTATTCTGTAGAATCTTATCGAATTTTCAATCTTCTATCTTACATATTTAGCTTTAAAGCTTTTAATTTGAAACATCTATTTACGTGCAAACGTGTTTTAAATGGAATACGAGCTCGTTAAAATTGGTCTTAATCGTACAATGGGGATCGTGCGACGTCAAAAACGCTATACGTGGTATATTTAAACGTAATCGTCGGTGCCAAGTACCTTCGTTGTACAGACGAAGTAGCATATAGGAGAATTGAATCATAGTATAACCCTTGATCTCCGTCAGCGCCACGGTATTGTACAAATTGTACAGCAGTTGCTGCGGCGATTGCATCTCATTGCACATTTGCTGCGACGCTTCCTGCACGTACGAAAAGACTTTACAGGTCTTTCGGAGACGTTGACGAGTATATTTATGTTAATTGAGGCCTTCAAAAACAATTATTTGTGATCGGGAATAAATGCATCGCTCTGTAATATTTAATCCTTGGCAGATAAATGTGCTTTCATGAACTTTCTCGATATCTATATACGATTTTAAGAATAATTAAAAACCACTAAGCATTTATAAAGTATATTGCTAAACCATTGATATTCACTTGTGTTGAACATCTACTTTTTCCTAATTTATTCGAGAAAATTGTGTGTGTCTCGAACAACAAGAATACATCTTCATTATGTTCGTGTTCTTTTTTTTTTTTTTTTTTTTCATTTGTTTGAAGAATATTAGAAATTGATCTTTTTGACATTTTACATGTTTTTATTGACGTTTAAATAGTATGTCAGTATTTTTAAATCCTGGAAAAACCTAAATATCCAAAATTTAAAAATACTGACATACTGTTTAAACGTCAATAAAAACATATGTAAAACGCCCAAAAAAATCAATTTCTAATATTCTTCGAAAAAAAATCCTAAAAATCATCAATTTTTGATATTATAGACTGGGCCCTTAAGGAGACGCGCAGCTATTTCGGCTAGATACCTGAAAAGCAGCGATGAACAATTTTTCGTTGACGATCAGATTCGCGATGCGATCAAGAGCCCTCGGGATCGCGGCGTTCGGATCCCGCAGGATCGTCTCGGCGAAATTCGCCAGTTGATTAACATTGATCGGCGCATTCAGTTCGACAATCTCGCGCTGCATTTGCCTGAACACTCCGTACAGGCCGTTGACGACACCCTTGTCGGATTGGGCCCGGGCCCAGAGCCACAGGGAGTCCAGGGAGTTCAGATGATCCCGTCGGTCCAAGGGAAATTGCTTGTCGTCCAGGTTGCCGAATCTCTTGTACACCTCGATCAGATGCAAATACTTATGTCGCGCTTCGACATTGATCCATTTACGTTCATCGGCCAGATCTTTTCTCAGCTCCTTCTCCAGATATAACAGGGTCTGTCTAAGCACGTCAATCGTCGACGCGTCATTCTTGATCGCGGCGAAGGCTGCCACAGCCAACACTCCCAGTGTTAACAGACACGTGAGGTATCTCATTCTTCCTCCTCTTGGAGTCGGACCTTCGACGGTGACTCACGCGTTTATAATTCACTTAGCAGAATGTCAGTTTCTTTCTTTGTTTACCTTTTGGACAAGTCTCGTATCTGAAGACGCGAAAAAACGTACATAAAACCGAAGATTGAAATCGTGTTATAAATCGTTTTGTTCCATTTATTATATTTGTTATATATTATTATTTTTATTATTATTATTAACAACTATTTATTATTATTATTATTAAATATTTTTATTATTTATTATCGTGTTCTTATCAGTAAATGAAAATAATATACTTTTTTGGTTGGCTATAAAGTCCACTGTATCTATTTTGAAATTTTTTTGACAAGAAAAAATTTTCGTAGAGAAAAGAGTGTATCTTTAATTTTATTAAAAAAAAAAAAAGATTAATGAAAAAAAGAATCACAAATAATTATAGTAACTTGCTGAAAATTATTTATTTTAAAAGTTTTTTGGTATGTATGATATATCGCAATATGGTGTGTACATAAATTAACATCGTATATATGTACTTGCTTTCTATGTTTCTTTTCCTTTGGGAAGATATAAGCACAGAGTGACACCATATATTTCTTCGGGGATTTGAGAAACTTCTGATGGGATCGTACTCGTATATATAATTTCAATTCCACCGTAGAATTCAAAAAAAAAAAAATTTAATGTTTCGATATGTATCACAGTTAATTCTTAATTTCTC